TGGAGGAGTTCAACGCACAGGTCAACGAGGTCCGGGACGAAGTCAGCAAAGTCGTCATCCTGAATGATGAGACATGGGAAGGACTGAGGTGCCGGATATGTCCATCATGTGCGACCGCGATCCCCACCTGCTTCTGCTTATGCCTGGAGTGCGAGGCACAACTGATCTCCATCGGAAGATACTACATTCACATCAAATCCGATGACGAGGAGGACAACCAAAACCCCAACGTCTCTGGAGATGCCAGGCGTGCACAGGAAGAAGCTAACCACGATGCGGCAGCACAGGAGGATGAAGACGAAGCGGAGGAAGTTCCGGGAGAAGATGACGACATGGACACGCAAGGATATACATCCGGCTATGCGTCAGAAGAAGAAGACAGCGGTTGGCATTACCGCGACACTGATCTGGCGTCACGGGACATTATAAGTTCCCAACGGATGGCGATCTGCCTTGACGAGCCGCGTGAAGCTCAGTACATGGCAGGATTTATCGCACTCCAGCTGTCCAAGATGTGGGGGATGTTTGAAGGTGGTGAGGAGAGAACAATGAATGCCGGACTCGAAGGGAGGCCGGGCTGCCCTTATCACAATGACTTCAAGAGGTACCCCAACATCACCGATCAGGATCAGGAAGGTATACTCTTACCATCAACAGCGAAGAAAATTTCTCAGTCGGAGAATGTTCGGACGAGATCCTTCCGATCGGTTGAGGAGCGTGAAGATTATATTCGTATGATGGTGTGCAAATGCGAGGGACTTTACACATTCTACAAGCTGTGGATTGCAGCGAGAATCCTCGATGTCACCAAGGAAGAAATGAAGCTCCTGGTCAAGGACCGAGTGCACCCGGTGGGTGATATTATTTTCAGATGTTTTGCACTAGCTTTCAACTGTAAGTATATATCATTCGTGAGGGATGGCCTGAACCTTGGCAAGAATGGTTACACGGTCAACGTGAGCGCCATCATCTCGGCCATCGACCCGAACAAGTGCGACACACCCCTGCTGGATTGGTGCCTTCGGAAAGGGCACTGGTTGCCAGAGGATCACAACAAGAAGTGTGTCCGGGCACGAGAAGCCCAGAAGAACTTGGACGAGGAGTTCCGTCGACGTACCCATAGGCTGTCCATTGGGGACAGGTATGCTTCGTGAAGATGCTGATTGCGGTACGATGTGGGTCAGTCCCCATCTGTTACTTGCGTCACATCGACACTATTGCGGTGGAACGACTTTATGTCATGATTTATATTCATGTGTCCAAGATGACTGGATGTGTACATGGTTACATATTCCGATGACTATGACGCTCTGGATATTCATGGATGGAACTATTACCTTATAGATGATATCTTTTCATTATTTATGCATTGTCCATGGTATCTGGAATGGCTATGATTTGCATTGATTACTCACCGATGTTTCTTTGCCGGAAATATGCAGACCGATCACGAGCAGGCCCCTCTGGTGGACTTTTGTGGCCAACCCATTTATGGATGACAGCTGCGCGATGCGCAAATGCGGCAGCTGGATAGTCCGTTGGTGGTCAAATGACGTGACGATTGTGTATTGTATACACCTGCATATGGAAGTGTGCTTCGATTGATGGATGAATGTTTCACTTTTCGTACAATCGAACCCGGCATGTTTCACAACGAATGGACGGTGTAGTGATAGCAAGTAAAAGAATGCACGACACGATTTCGTAGTTGAAGCCGTGGCCAGTGGAACGTTTTGTGGTGTTTGGACCGCATGATGAACAATGCGACCCAAATGGGGGATGTTAAAACCCTCTAGGCCCCGTGCCGAAATTGGGTAGCTGTTCTGAGGTCCTTGTTGGTGTTGCTTCCCAAGTTCCATTGATCGCCATTTGGCTCAAGACACAATTGAGGTTCAAGATCTGATGTGTGACTGCATACATACGTGATCGGCATTGAAAGTGGAAAACACTTCGCTTGCGCTGCATTTGTCAGGACCACTGTTGTAACTATCATTCCTTCTCCCTTACAACGTTTACACGGGTTCGGCTATAACGGCATCGTCCGTATACACCTTTCTACGTGGTTTATATTACAGCTTGAGGGTTCGGTGCATAGCGTCCCACGGGACGTCACCTTGCCGTCTCTTGACAGCTTCCAAGTGTACTGGTGCGAAGACAGCACTGGAGGAACAACAACGGATCCCATTGTCACGCCCAGTTCGTATGTGTCCTACCACGTGTGGGAGTACCGAGACTGGCAAACACGAGGGTATCAACGACTTGGAGCTCCTTTACCAGCCATTGGACTCGCGATGCTCGTGAATGCAGACGACAATTCCTCGGGGGACTCATCGGTTCCGGATGGGGCGTGGCGAGAGCCGTCACCACCACCATTCTATGATCCTTGGAACGATTCGGGGTGATACTTGAGCAACATGTCGGATAAATTGACGTGGTTGTGCTTGCTTTGTATGCGATTCCATGTTGGGTTGTCTTGCTTGGTGTTGTGCGTTCCGTCTCCAGCTGTTTGCCGCTCTCATTTGACTCTGAGCGGTTTGCCTGGTTGATATGTTCAATTGTACAGTGTATGGCGCAGCACGATGGGTCCTGCCTCGCTACTTTGACTACGACATCGTCAATGGCCCCGCGAATACGAGTGTCGAATGGATTCGGATCTATGTACCGGGTCCGTGGCATCCAGTCGCCGAGAACACCTTGGGACCAGCCCCGGATGACTCAACCACCTATCGGGAATGGCGCAAGGTTTACCACTTCGAAGTGTATTGGCCGAGGGATAGCACAGGCGGCACCAATACAGGTGCTGTTTCGCAGCCGGTATCTTATGCATCCTTCTATACTTGGCATTATAGAGACTGGGTCACCAGGGGATACCAACGGCTGGGTCGCCCACACCCTAGCATTGCGCGGCCAGTTTTCGCTTCGGGCGCACCGGACCTCATGTACGCTGGATTGACCTCTTCATCGGCATCCTCCAACTCGGATGGTGGCTGATGCTCGTCCTCGCCTTCCTGGGGAGTCTGTTCAGTTCAATTCGATTCGGGAGATTGACTTCGATACCGGAGCCGTGCATTGCTGCAAAAGTGATTTCTTGCACTGTGGCAGTTGTGTCTCTTTCAGTAATTGTTGTCTGCAGCCGTACACCTATCAATTTGTCTTTCCGGGTTTGCGTTGTCATGCCGTGGCTGGAATGGTGTCCGGATCCTCAACAACCAGATGCCCAGTGGGTCAAGATCTTTCATCCGGGATCATGGACTCCACATGAAGAACATGATGCTCCACCTCCACCGCACACGTATAGAGAGTGGAGGGAGTTCTATGCTCCCAACCCGGACCAAGACGGTGAGCAGCTCAATGTCACCATGTGGTACAAAAGAGACTGGGCCACAGAGGGCTATCGGAGAGTCGCTGCCCCTCAAGCTGGTCATGACTTTGATTCTATGTCTTTTCCTGATCATCACAGCGTGGCCACGCAATCCGCGGCATTGAGTATGTCACCGCAGTTGTTAGAAGCGATCCTTAGATCCTCGGATGCGGCGGATTTCTCTACCGAAGAACTGACTCGTCTCCAAGAGGGGATTTCTCAACAACTGACAGCTCGCGCACGTCACGCTTCCCAACTTCATCAACCTGTACGTGCATCACGTGGAATCACACCATCGGAGACGGTTGGGGTCTCCGAACCATACCGGCCTGTTAATCCTTCCGACAGCTGCAAAGCCAAGGCGAGACCTATCTTCGAGCTAAATGAGGACTAGATGCACGCGAGTGGGGTAGCGTACAAAATAAGGGTGGTTTTCACACTTGCATTTCCTTGCTTGGTTGTTGCTTGTACATGGTTGTGCATGGTGCCTGTTCCTCTATCAGCTGGATCGGAGCCCGCGATACGCCTTGCCTCTTACTTCGACATGGACATCGAGGATTCGAAGCAGCACCCATGGCTCGAATACTCGGTCTGGCAGGATCAGGAGTGGGTGCGGATCTACACTGCAGGACAGCCTCAGCGATGGCACCGCGGAGAAACTGTACCTGATCTACCAGACAATTGTTTTTGGGAATGGCAGCGGGTGACTGATCCCAATGGGCGCACTGGTGAGCACGGTCAGGCATGGACCCTCCGCGACTGGCAGCATCAGGGATACCAGCGCATTCTGTCTCGAATGGAGTCCTTCACAACTCATCATTCGCATGATCAATCTCTTGGTGAAGTTCGGAATTCCGATGCCATTCCAGTTGAGGAGACGTTCACCTATGCTACTCCGTTTTCTCATGGTGATCGCTCGACTGCTTCACAACTCGCTTCAGTCCTCTATGGCGACACTCGTAATGCTCAACGTGGTGATCTCTCGTTCCCGTCTTCTGAGCGGTTTAGGGCTGTTTCTCGTTCCCCTCGCCGCGGTGGATTTTTTGGTCAACGATAAGGACACGGGGTTGAGCATGTGATCTTCCTGCGGAAAAGGAGACTCCTCGCCCCTCATTGAGGGGCGTGTGTGTGCGGAGTGACAGAATGCCCTGTCACTACCCTTTCGGTTTCTCAGCAGGGGGATGCCGGGGACCTATGCGGTCGGCATCCAACGAAGACGCCGCATTGGTCCTGTGATATCGAGGCTGATCACCTCGACGTACCTGTGCATCTCGTGTGATTCAAAGTCCTTTTGGCCCCCCTTGGTTGCGGCGCTGTTTGTGCTTCTTGTTCTTTCGGGTAACGTGTTCGCTGCTAGACGGAAACCAAGTGAATGCAAGCCGAACCTACACCCACTCGAGACTCATCAGTTGTACTCGAGACTCATCAGTTGTACTCGAAAGATTAGCACTCTCCATTTGGAGTTTAAGTGTGTGTGTGTGTGTGTGTGCGTGTCTGTGTGTCTGTGTGTCTGTGTGTCTGTGTGTGTGTGTGTGTCTGTGTGTCTGTGTGTGTTTTTTTTTGGGGGCCCGCCAAAATGGCATCGGTTTTCCTTTTGGTTTCCCTAAAACTAGAAAATAGGGGTACCGCCCATGACGAGGCCGGCACTTCGACGAGGTGCGCTGCGAGGCAGACCGGAAGGAGGCGGAGCTGCAGCTTGGCGAGAAGCGGAGGGTGCGTCTTTTTGTGCGAACCCTTTTTGGGGTTGGTAAGGGAAGCCAAAAGGAATCCAACCATTGTGGAGGTTCAACTGGGAGACACAGCTGGCTGAAGGTCACCGTCCGTGGACTTGCCATGGATTTCAAACAAAGTCGCAAAAGCGGCCATTTTGGAAGGCCTTTTTTGACTGGGAACAAGTGACAGTTTGCAAGCTGGAGCTCAGCAAAACGGACATTTTACTGAGCTGTCTATGACCTATGTCTACGAACATCATCAACAAAGATCAATCAGATTCCACGAATGTGCCAAAACTCTCATACATAGATGCTGCTTCAATCAAATGCAACGGATTCGCACATATCAGAACGTGGCATTAATTTAATGAATTTTATTGAAATGCGATCCGCCGACGCCAGTGGGGTGCAAGGGATGTTAAGATCCTTTTTCTTTTTTGTGGAAGTCTGAAAGTGCCACAACAAGGCCTTCTTGGCACTTTCCTATTTTTCAGGAAACATGTCCCAGATGCTGGGGATGCTGGAAATGCAAGGGATGCAACCACACAACGTATCTTCGCATCCAACATTTCAAGACTAACACAGAAAATACCATAGATGTCGGGAATGCTGGGAATGCAGCCGGCTGGCCACCAAAATACCAGGAGTTGTTGATATTTCCCAAAATCAACCATCAAAAGCAGATACTAGCAACCCCCTTCAAATACCCTAAAAATAGATTTCCAAAAACACGATAATGCAGGGGATGTTTCGCAGTAACTGCTCCGTACAGGTGGGGAATTGCAAAAAACATTCATTTTTGCAAATTCAAGCAGTTCCGCAACGTATCACTGCACTTGGCCCCACTCAGACCCCTAACAGGCCGATTCCAACATCGCTTGAAACAGCAAAACACCATTAGTATCTAGCAGCAAGGTAGCCCTGATGATGCTGGGGATGCAGATCCTGCACGTCTGAGAAAAACCCCCCCCTAGAGACCTAGGCGAAACGCAGGTTTTTAGCAGGCAAGACCCCCAAAACACTGGAAATTACAGTTGGACAAACTGGCAGCCCCAAAAGCCTTCAGCTTTGAGAAGACCAAGTTGCGGACGGTCTGTTTTGGTCGATCTCTGGGAAACCTTGGTGGCGCCCGCAAGCCCAGGCTGCAGATCCGTCAGGACATCCGCTTCTGGGAGTCGGAGGCCAAGCCCCACGAGGACATGCGCACGGGATGGGTTGGTGCAGTTGGTCCAGTGGGGTATGTGTCCAAGGGATTGGACCGTGGTGGTTGTCCTGGGCAGACTCCCAAAATGGTGAGGGTTCCTTTTGGCAGCCCTTAACAACCGGGATTGGGGGGCTCGCAAAAGTCGGTGGTCTTATGCCGGGATGATTTTTGAAGTGTCATCAGGATCCTATTGTTCTGACAGCCAACGGGCTTGTGATATCCGGGCTTCAACACCTGGCCCGCATGCGGCTTCATTCATTCATTCTGAGTGTTCACGAGTCCATTTACCATGGCTCTATTTTGCCCCAAACTAGATGGCCCAAGCTGGTGGCCCCATCTTGTGGATTCCTCACTATCAATTAGGAAACGAGTGATTTATCAGAGTTTGTGATTGGTCTGTTTGAAATATCCACGGAAACCGTGCCAAGTTTCATTTGGGATCTCATGGTCGTGACTGCTGGGACCTCACTGTTGGAATGCCCCAGAAAGGTGGATTGGGCCGCATGCAGCTAGGACCAGGACCATTACCATGGCTTCGACCGCAAGCACGTCTCTGACAAGCTCAAGGAGGCCTGCGAACAGTGGGCAAAATCTGCTTCCAGACTCTGGGCTCTTCAAGGGGAGGGCGGGCCTGCAACCTCCAGTTGTCGGTTTGCCGTCCGGATCATGTGAGGGTTGCCAGCATGAGCCGCAAGTTTCATTCAGATGTACAACATACTTGTTCCGAAGTCATTGCAAAGTGTTCTGTGAGAAGACGGTGTGTTGCAACGGCATTTCAGGGTGGGTTCCGGACTTGTTCTTTCTTGAGGACACACCGCTTCCTGGTTTTACAGAAAGCCAAGCTGCACTTTCCACACCAAACCCAACCCCGCCCCTCGCCAAATCAGGGAGTTCTTTTGTTTATGGTCCCGAATCTACCGGGGCCCGGGGCCTTCCTTTGGTTCAGAGCACGCCCCCGTTTGGCGCTTGTGAAGGCCGGGGTGGAGTTGGAGCAGGCGCTGGAGACGCAGAAGGTGTACCGGCACATGGCCACTTGGAAGTGGGTGATTTGCTTGGTCTTTGTATTTCATTATGGACCCTTAAGACTTCTTGGTGCTATTGGTGCTATGGGGAGGCCGCGGGGGGTAGGCAACACACGGCGAGGGCGCTTCCGAGGCATTCACGCTCGCTGCGATTTGGGGCATGTTCCAAGAAAAGGACAAACCCGAGGTGGAACGACTCATCCGCGAGCAGAACATCCTTCAGCAAAAGGCCGCGGCAAACCAGCCTGGGCCAACTCCCGTGTTTCGTTATGTTTGTCTTTCCCTGGCAGTTTTGAGCAGCTTGGCATTCGTCCCTCATTTTCTCCCTGTTCGCAGCTCACGGTTGAGGGTCATTCATGTGAAGCGAGCTTGGTGACAGAAACTGGATGATATTCATTCTGCGCTTTGCGCTTTGTGCTCCCGGCAAGGTGTCTCTGATGGAAGGCTACCTGCACCGCAAGACCCGGGAGGTGGAAACGAAGCAGCACTTCAGCCGCCGGGTCAACGAGGACAAGGCGGATCGGCGGACAAGTCGAGGTACACTGCCCGCAAATCAATAATATACTAGTCGAGGTATACAGGATTTCGGCTCAGGGAGATGGGTCAACAGAGGCGAGGCTTTGCCGGACGTTTTTGCCATCTCAGGTTCTGGGGGAAGGGTTTCATGTTCGCGGAACCAAGGGAGGATTTTTTGGGGAGCGATGGCTTGCCGTTTTGCGAGAGGTGGGGCAAATTGTGAAGCTGGAAATTCTGGAGCAGGACGCGCTGGCGATGGGGCTGAAAACGCTCAATTGCACCGCATTAATGTCAGCCTTCACTGCGTCAAACTAGATGTTAGCCTACAAAGAGAGAGAGAGAGAGAGAGATAGAGAGAGAGAGAGAGAGAGCGCGATGAGCGAGAGATGAGCGAGAGACCAAGCGTCTTCCAACCTCGAGGGCTGCAGCTCAAGGAATGCTTAGATCTTAACTTGAGTCAAATGACCCAAAATGTTTCCCTCACCCAGTTGTGTGGCACCCAGTTTCCCGTCTGGGTATCTGAGCGTCTTGCTCTACGATAAAAGAGGTCAGACACGTGCCATGCCCAGAAGTACCAGCAATGTTGCTGAAACCGGATTGGCGCCAAGGTGCATTTGCGAGTCTTCCCTGCGTTTCTGGCTATCAAGAGACAAAATGAGGACATGCACCTTGAGCGCATGGTCTGCACCACCGCCATTAGCGACCTCTCCTCTGCCATCGAGAGGCCGCAGGGCTGAGTGTCAGGGCTTGACCCCCAAATCTGGAGGTTCATGACTCAACAAACGTAACATGTCTTCAAGGAGTTGCTCCTGCGCATTTTGTTTGCTAGATTGAAGCTACTTTGGCAAAAAGCCGCAGGCCGGCTGCTCTCTTTTTGCGCTTCGGTGCTGTTTTGCCAGGCGCAAGAAGGACGTGAGCCAGGGGGAGGACTTCGAGAACTGGCGCTACGAGGTGGCCATGGAGGCCGCTCCAATGGGTTCCAATGCGGGGGGCGCAAGCTTACCCAAATCGAGTGAGCCGTGAATCGCGTCCCAAATTGAAGAGGACAAGCTCAAAATGCCATGACACCCAAAACTCATGTTCCGACAGAGGTGGCAAGAGAGGGCCTTGACTTTCACCTGACAGGTTTCCAAGTAGTTGGGCCTGTGCACTTGTTGTGTTTGGCATGGCCATCCCCCAACAAACCTGTACAAGCATGCAGGTACAACGATAAACCAGGGCAAGAAGAAGAAGAAGACGAAGAAGAAGACGAAGAAGAAGAAGAAGAAGAATAAGAAGAAGAAGAACAAGAAGAAGAACAAGAAAACAGGCACACACACACACACAGACGAAGCACGAATTGACCAGAATTACAAGATAAATCCCCAAAAGACAGCAAGAGACGTTGTGTGCAAAGTACACCTAATTGGTGCAGGATGCTGTCCACAGGAAAACGAGCTCCGGCATTGCGCCTCGCGCCTTCAGGCAGCCACAGAAGCCTTCGAGGCGACTGCCGGCCGCTACAGGAGCTTGGCGTGGGGGGAGAGGGAGGGAGGAGGGGTGTCTGCGTGTCTTTTTTTTTTTTGTAAAGACAAAACTTGTTTTGGCTGTTGGACCGGTCGTATCGATTTGCACGAGGTGCAACACGGCGCTTGAGGGGTTTCAAACATTTTGAATTCTGAGAATTGAGTGCAAGATAGTTGTTTCTTCAAATACCAAGCTTCATTGACGTGGGCTAGAATAAGGTCTTTCCTTTACAGTTGCGTAGGATCACACCCGACAGGCTCGCCCCCGAATTGAAGTCACCTTGCCTGCAATGTAAGCATGCAAGGAAGATCTACGCCATCGAGAAGCTTACAGGCTTGTGGCCATTGCCGGGTGACAGAAACCACGGCACACAATGGATGGAACACAATCCAACACACATCGTGGACATCTGATCGGAATGTGTCATTGGTTGGGATATTTATTTTTTCTTTTCGTTGGTTTGATTGATCGATCACGAGCAGTTCGGCTTGAGCCAAATTCAACCTGGAAAAGGGGAACAGGGTCATTGTTCTTTGACACCTTTCAGTCTTGATTGTTACTCGCGTTCGTTGATCCAACTGGTCCCTTGACACTTTCCTTCCCTCCCCGGCGCTGGAGCGCCGACGCCACGGGACAGAGGTCTTGGTAGCTGGGGAGGGCTTTTTGAACTTAAACAACGCCTGCTGGATGAATGCCATTGAAGGGGACAGACATGCTCGAGAAACCTAACTTGTGGCAAGCCACAAGTGCAAACCGCATGATACCTAGTGCTGTGTCGGCTTAGCGGTGGCCGAAAGGCAACTGCTTGCAGCGCCTGACCTTCGACCAAGCCGAGCAAAGTCAGGCGTGAAGGGCAAGCTGCAAAGTGCTGCTAAACTTCTAAGCATCAGGGGATACATGATTGGCAACTGGGCTCCATTTTGCAAGAACCCACTTGAAATCACGTGCCAGTATTCAACTCTCCTGGTTGGTTTGCCCTATAAGCTTTTCGGCCGTTGGACAAGGAGACAGTTTTTCCAATTAGTGGCAACCAATTTGAATGTTTGAGGACAAAAGACGAGCTCATGCAATTGCTGGCCTTTTTCAAACCAAGGGAGTGCAACCGATTCAATCATGTATCTGACATAATTCTGTTGCTGCCCTCCAGGCCACTGAGGATGGCTTTCAAAGGATCCGGGAGGTCACAGGCCTGACAGACGTCATGGATATTGTGCACAAGCGCGGGGCTGAATGCTCGGGGGGTTGAGGTGCCAGTGCAGAAGGGTTGATTTGAATCGAGTCTTGGCGAGGCGCTGTTGAGCCAAGCGCTATCGTTGATGGTAGAGTCAACACATGGCATGATGATGATGATGATGATGATGATGATGATGATGATGATGATGATGATGATGATGATGATGATGATGATGATGATGATGATGATGATGGATGATGATGATGATGATGGATGATGATGATGATGATGATGATGATGATGATGATGATGATGATGATGATGATGATGATGATGATGATGATGATGTTGATGATGAAGAAGCCTCGGTACCTCGCTTGTGACTCTTGTTCTCTTCCTTGTGCCTGAGTTGCTTTTAACTTTTGACACTGGCAGGCCTATGTCCATTGTCATTGTTGTGGCAAAGGACAGCTTTCCATTATTGGGATACCAAAAGGGCAGTTTAGTAATGGAGAACGAAGGAGGAACAGCTTGCTCTTAAAGTCACTCCTTGGAATTGGAGCGTCAATTAGGTGGTCAATTTAATCTACAGCGAAGTATTAGCGTTTGAGACCCTGGCTGAGACTGCTGTGAGTTTGCACTGAATGCTTGTGGTGTTTTTCAGCTTGTTTGTCAGCTGCAACGCTCACTTCAGGATGGCTTTTGTCGCACGCGGCTCTTCTGCAGAATAGCTTCTAACCTCAAGTAGAGAAGGACGGGATGTTTCACCAAACTTGGGTGTCCGCTGGAAAGCGTGACGCACGACGGAGGGACTTGCACGGTGCGGCAGCAGGCTATTTGACCCACCCCAAAAGAGAGGCAGTCCTGTGCATCGTTGCAAGTGAGTCAGGTGAAGCGGTTGGTTAAATGCACCTCATGACCCGACCATCTCCTGCACGAACCCTCGATCTATTGCCCCGACGCTTGACATCGTCGCAAGTAAGTCAGGTCACACACGAAACCGCAGCGAGAGCACCCTGCTCAAAACGAATTTGTCGCATGTGAGCTTCAGTTTGCCAGCAAGTCGGACAGAACGTGGGCCACTTGGCTATGTTGCTCTTATTTTTCCGGAGGTTCGCGCTTCTCACTTTGTGGAACCACCGAATTGAATGGACGCTGTTGGCACACCCAAGGATGCAAAGATGGGAGTGGGCACCAGAAAGGGAGACGTACTAAACTCCCCCTCTTAAGGCAGGCCACAAGCTGTGCATTTATGTATATTTATGTTCATTCCTCTCCCCGAAATTTGGCTTTCGAAGCGGCTTTGACCTCTATGGAGAGAGCTCCCCCGAGGTTCCTGAACCGTGATGCGGAGCACGAGCAGCGTGGGCCCCGAAAGCTGCCGAAGCTCATGGCCCGCAAGCTAATTGTGCCAGAAAACAGTGCCTGGGTCGAACGATCTTGTTGATCAGCCCTTCAGGGGTTTTTGCACAACCATGGTGTTCCTTCTGGGGATTCATGAGCATGACAAAAGAGTTGTGACTTTGACACGCGTGAAGACAGGTTATGTTCCATGGAGTTTGTAACTTAGCTCTTGAGTTCTGCGCATGCCTCAGAGCTTCTGACAAAGTCATGCTGAGCATTGAGCATTGTCAGGCAACGCCCACAGAATGTATTGAGTATCCGATAGCCTCGCTTTCTGGGGCTGTGCCAATTCAAATCGGAATCCTGTCGGATTGCAACACTTTGTTTCCGCAGGGTCTGTTTTGGACATTTTATCCTCCCTCTTCGGAAAGTGCAAAGGTTTTCCGGCAACGGGCACCGGCTTTCAGGTTATTGCATAGGATAATTTCAAGTCGAAGAGCTGCATTTTTTGGGACCCTTTTTGGGATCTCTTCAAGCCCGGCACACAAATCCACAGGAAATTGTAGTGTTGACTATCATGCATGGGAAGTGAGGACATAGAATCCTGCGTAAAATAGGAATTGGACTCCAGACAGTTTCCCTTTAGACACCATCCAAACGAGCTTCCCGTTTTCGGACACCACGTCGTTGATTGAGAGCAAAAGGATAAAATATCTATCCTCGATTGGAATTCCTTTCGCCCAACCCCACCAACACAAGCCAACGTCCATCCGCAAACTATCAGGGCTCAAATGGGCCGCACCCCCTTTGGGCGAAAGAACACTTCCGGCCAGAAGAAAATCTGCCACCCAGCAACCGATGGAAGGCTGCGGAACACCGTGCGAGAGGCGGAGGGGCGGCTCCATCAGCTCCAGGAGGAGGAGGCGTGACGCGAGTCGCCAGACGAGCCGTCGTGGATTGGTTGGAGGGTTGGTTCGGGGGTTTGGGGGTTCGGGGGTTTGGGGGGGCTGGGGCTTGATATTCCAGTAGGGGTGGGAAGGGAGATAACGACTGTTGGACACTGCTTGAAAGGAACGTTGTGCTGCATTCACCAGCCTTGCTAGCTACCAAGAATGGGGTCATTGCTGCCGGCAGTCTTCAAATGGGGGAACGCCCTTTTGCTGGGAGTCAGAAGGATCGAGGGAATGATGGGGGTTGCCTTATCTAGAATCTGCGAATCAACCGTTTGGACGATTCTTGTTTTGAGACACGTGGCCGCAGCAAAAGTGTCCGGTGCCGTCGCTATGGCCAGGCCAGCCGGCCACGAGAGGATGCCGGAACCCCGGCGAAACTGGTTCTGGGCGCGGCTCTGGGCTGGCAGTGGCAAACTCGAGCGATTGGGCGTCCTCCCACGCAGCAGACGCACTTTTCATTTTGTTACCAAGAATATTTTGCGATTTTGGGAAACGGATGGCTGAGAGGACGTGCTTGGAAGGCGATGAGATCTCACCGATCTCATCTACTTGGGACCTGACACAGGGGGTCCAAACGACTTTGGAGAGAATCGCGACTCCCTCACTTTTTCCCGGCCACAGCCAAGCCTGCTGGTCAAAACTCTGGAGACAACGTCGAGAAGGAGTTGTTTTTTGCGCGCCCGTAGAGATATAACTGCGTAAGCCATGACCATCTTCATTCATGCTCGTAGCCAGCACACACACACACGGAAAGGGCGAGGCCGGCCGTATTGGCACCTTGCCTCGAGGCGCTGGTGGATGCCAAGCCGGAGACAAGAGGCGGAGTGGGTGAAGATTCGCACGCAGGCGGAAGGCAAGTCTTCAGGTACTCATTTGGCATTTTTCTTGCTCGCGCTTGCCATATGCAGGGCATGTCTGACGGGGTAGTTACATCAACCCTATCCCTCGGTCTCTTTGTGACAGTCGCCAGGGATCGGCACGGAAATCACGGAGTTCGAGCAGCTGCTGGAAGACGCGCGTCGGGATCATGCGGCCTTGGCCCCGGATCGGCCGGGGAAAGGATCGGAGTTTGTACAAAATGCGCTTGGAGACCTAAGGCACACGTCGGGTCAGGGCCAAGAAAGTAGCCACTGCTGGGAGGAAAAATGCATCCCTTGAAAGGTTTGATCTCATCCTCTGAAAAGGGCCGTTGGTGTCTTGGAGAAATCAAGTCGACAAACCCTAGGTACCCTTTTTGGAGGAAACAAACCCAATAAGCACTTGTCCGCAAGTAGTGGACAGCGGCTTTGAAAACTTACCTCTTAAAAACACAACTTTTCAACTTTTTTGGGGTAACATGGGCTATATGTCTGTAAAAGGTTAACTTCCCCAGGGCTTGGAGTTTTAAGGGGTAAGAAAAGGCTGGGTGAATTGCAGGGTTATGTCAACCCCTGGCGACGGAACTTGTCAGGATGTGCGGGAGAGGTTGAAGGGCAGCACTCTGCTGGTGGACAGTCTCATCCGCGGCCGCCTCAGACGGGCCGGTCTTTACAATCGCCAACTCTGTCGAGAAACCCGGGTGACCTGGTTCCCAATGACATGGCGGCGTGCCAGAATGAATTAGACGAATTTGAGATCACTTTTGAAGTGCAAGCATTTGAGACGAGGCTATGCGCAGAAGCTCGGCAAATCCCTGGTGCCGAGCTCGGGCTCAGAGTCGGCATCGCCAACCATGCACTTCCATCATAGGTTCCTTAAGATAGGGAGCTGGAGCTTTTCGCGGGTTGGAAAAGGATTCTGATTATAAAGTCGTTCATCACTTTTGACAGCTTGTGCTACTTTGGGACAATATGTCCATCCTGGGTTTTTGGTTCGAAAGCCAGAAGGATCCAGCCCTCAAGCCAGCACTCAAGTACTTGGAGACCAGACAATGACAGCCTGATTGATCAGGCGGCGCGTTTGAAGACTCCGCCCATGGAGGTTTTATCCATGCTGAAAGTAGTTGCTTGCTCGCAGAAAATAGCAAGCAGACAACATCCTCATCTAGCAAGCTTGATATTTTGATTAAAGGCACAATCGCTGACATAGGTATCGCAAATCAGAGCCAGTCCAAATTTGCGGAACTGAAGCAGACCACAGTCCTTTGAGCGAAGGGTTTCGGAGTCAGCAACTCTTGAAGTGAAGGGGTGATTAACGGTAGCCAGGAGCCTGCTTTGCGTGCTCGTGGCGTGTGTTGCATGCACACAGCGGCTGCACAATAAAAGATTCGTGCGAACCCATGGCAAAGCGTGCTCGGGTAATCTTTGAGCTGTGCTGTGTTGCACACGCTAGAGCCGGATTTGCCAGTGGTTTTGGCAAGTGGGGGCAAATCCCTCGCGGCAACCCGGGTGGATTGCAGCATCCGCTCGCTTTCTGGCAGCGTCACAAGCAAGTGTTGTTTTGGGTGCAACTTGGCCTCATTTTCACTGAGATCCTACGCACGCCGGGTATGCGAAGGGGCGGGGAGTCGGCAGATGCTGGAGCTGTGACTTGTGACGGGCCTAGCCGGATGCTCAAGGATGATAGGGCGCTCTGAAGCAGGCGGCTGCCAACACAGAGTTCTCGGGATGACGCGCTCTCTATCACAAGGGGTCTTGCTTGGACCCCAAGGACAAGGCCTGCTTGAATCAGCTGACACATACGGTTACTACGCGCGAGGTTGCCAAGGTCACATATCCTTGCCAGGGATAATGTCGATGACAATAATTTTTTAACATGGTAAGGCCACTGCTCACATTTTTTTGCATGCGTGGGCAGGCGGCCCCAAAAAGCAAAACACTCCAGGCAGCAGCTCGGCGGCGGCGCAAGGCATCAGAGTCCCACTCATGCAAAGTTTTGTGCCTGACCCCCAAACCAAAGTTTGTCTATAGGTGCGCGGTGGGAGCTCTTGCCAGCTTGCTGGCAGGCATGTATTTGCGCCCCTTGACCTTCAAGCTGAGCAGTAAGGAAATCTCCGGAAACCGGCTGCAGGTTCAGCCGACAAAAGTCCAAGCGCTTTTTGGCTGCACCTGAGGTGGACATGCGCTCGATCTGGTGGAACTCAAAGTTGCAGGAGACACACATACCGCCGCACATCTTCCACATGTGCGCTGTAACCCCAATTCGTGACCAGACTTTGGCTGCCCTGCCGCTGCCTGCTTGTCACCAGCAACAACGATACCTGAGTCTGCAGGGGTGCTGCGCAAGCCTGCCACCGCTGTAGGTCGACCCTTCGTTTGCTTTGGCCACGCCTTGCATCACGTGTGCCGACGCCTATGTAATAGCCATCAGCCGCAATGTGTGGCCCAGTTTTGAGATGCGATGCCTGCAGAATGGTCACTATGTCAAGAGTGGGCTTGTGCGCTTGCTCCAGGCTCATTCACATTGAGCGCGCCGGCCAGTCGCACACACCTGCAATCCTGATGTGTACCGTGAGGGTGCTCAACCAGGGCTGCGCTGCCAGAGCCACAGCCAGGTCTTCCTACCAAGCCTTTGCAGGATCTCACGGCTCATCATCAGTGCGGCTGACTTGGCAGGCGATGCCACAGGCCTGGCAGTTCAGGTTTCTTTTTGTTGTCTTATTTTGCTGCGGTGGTACAGGGAACTTGGGGCTTGTAGGTGCCTTATCCCTTCTTCGGGCTTTGCGGCATTTCGTGGCGTGTGGAGGCTGGATTTGCCCTTGCTTTTGCTGCTTGCTGCTGGCTGCTCTTGCTGCCAACCATCCCACGCAGATGCAGCAGAACTCTGTGGATGGTGGCATCATATACCAACCGCACGCGCGCGTCATTGCTATGTTTGACCTCAGGTTGATATTGCAGTTCAAAGAATGATGGTGATGGTCACTAGGACTTGATTCAAGCGTGCAAATCTTGCAGGTCCTACTGCGAGTACTCCACGGTTGTGGGCCCACAAGCAATGCTTGGCAACAATTCTCTGTTTCCTGGCTTTGCGATGCAGGATGGCTCTTTTTGAAATCTGCGCAAACGTTATTGCAAGTTTTTAACGCCAAGCAGATTCAAGATAAGGCTTCACTCACACGGCAGCAAAGTTGCGTGGTTTCTCGAGAAAACTTGAAGCATGGGGGAGACTCGGTCATTCACCTCATTCGCTCAATCGACCGATTGTCCAACACACAGGGGTGCTCTGAGAGCCCTTTTGTGGGAGGACAGCAGTGTGTTGATTCACGAGACGAGGACATGGCGCGTGTTCTCCATTGCGTCCAGTTGGTCCCTTTCAAGCGGCCACCCCGCCTTTTCAGGCCAACATGCCAGCATGAAATCCTTTTCGGGTGCAAAGGTGTGTTCAATCCAGAGGGAATTTCCCGACAAAGGATGTTGGTTTTGGATGGCGTGAAGGGAAGCTGAAAGGGAACTTCGAAGCAATTCTCCTGGGCAGCGAATCACATTTTGTCCAGGTGCGCGTGTTTTTTTTGGGAAACCCTGAGGCACCAGTCCGGGAGATGCCGCAGGTGCAGGATGTGCGCGGGACCCTGGAACAGGTAGGCTAAACACCCATTCGGTTTGAAAATTTGATATGGTCAAGAGGTCAGAACCCAGGTGAATGCGGAAATAACTGTGACAAGCTTAAACACAGAATGTGACAAGGGCGAACTTACTGGTTGTCACCTGTAGCAGCTGATTTTTTGACGGCGGCTCGCGCGACCCGTTGGAATGAGGCCAAAAAGGTTACACTCAAAGCATGCCGAGGTTGCGGGTTGACAAAATGGCTTCTCGGGTTTTGACAACCCTTCATGTGATGTGTGAAATATTTGTTCTGAGCTCTTGGGGAGCCCTCAAGGCAAAGTGAAACCAGGGTCTAGCAAGGACCTGCCATTTTGGCCATCCCCCTCAAACTTGCTGATCCTTTTTTCCGGAACAACATATTATGTGGATTTTGCGAAGCTGGCCACAGGGCTGACCTTTTGCCAGTGAAGGCGTGGGGCAGAACAGGCAAGGGATTGAAGCCACGTCTCAGCCAGACTGGACGTCACCTGTCGAGTGCCTGTGAGGTCCGACCTGCCTACGTTCTTCACGCATTTGGCCGGCTCGCTCAATGCCAGCGACTGCTTCCCTGGCCCAGACATATGGCAGAGATGCAAGCTGTGCCACCTCCAAGAAAGGAATATGGGACCTTACAGTTTAAAGCAAGCATAAGATATTATGTAGTTTTTCAAGAAAGGACATAAACAAATCCAAACATGAATGGATTTTGCCTTCGGGCGGCAGATGTGCAGAAGGCGCTCAACCATTCTCATCCGTCAGAATCTAGGCCCCGCTTCCCAAAATGTCACCTTTGGGCCTGCTTTCGACAATCTGACATGCGAGTCTTCCCCAAACGAGGTCCGCATTGTGGAGGAGTTCCTTAACCGCGCGCATGCGGAGATGCCAGATGCCAGGCGGGATCAGCCGATGTTTTAGGGTTCGCTCAATTTTCCTTCAACATGGCATTTGGATCTAGTGCTTGCTACTCATTGTGCACGCCAGTACCTTCCCCAAAAGGTAAGCCTTCTTACAGGTGAGTTTTAATATGCTGAAATCAGTGGATTCAAATTTTCTCTTGGCAGGCTTCTCAAACAGATTTCCTGAGGTCCAGCCGTTCTAGTGCAGCGCCAGGCTCATCAAAATGACCAACGAGGCCACCAACCGAGTCTTCACGGAGCAGGGCAAACTGTTGCATGACAAGGCGGGCCTATGCGGATGGGAGTGGTCGTGGTGTGAAACTTTCTTCACCCCTTCCTTCCAAGATAAACCTGACACCGACTTGCTCGGGTAATTGCACTGGCAACCTCTCTCACAAACACACCTTGCTTCTCGAGGAAGCCCCGTCCGACTTTGCTGTGGATCGCCCAACTTGAAGGCAACATTGGCAGGGACTGCCGCCCAGTGTCAAAATCAGATCCAAGCGTCTTTGTCTTTCCCTCTGTGAATCCACAGCCCATCCTAGTTACCCCATCCCAATTGTTTAAATGATCCTTGCCCATATTGCTTTTCCTGAACTAGATGTATCCATCCCTGAGGAGTTCCTGCGCTCCAACTGCCGGGTGGTGACGCAGGATCAAGCGGCTGCCTCGGACACACGTGTGAAGGGTTTTTAGGCTTCGAGCTAGAGCCTCATAGTCAGCTCAGCTGAAAGCTATGCGGGGTCTAACTTCAGATGGGTGCGGAGTAGTCGCAGAGATTGGGGTACTGTGCTGCAAGGCGGGTGAGGCCTTGTGCAAAGATGGTGAGACTGAGAGTGCAAGTGAGGGTGTGGCCAAGAGTTTTTGGCTGGGGCTGTTCCTGGTGTGCAGAGTGCCATTGGGCGCAGCAACAAACAAAGATGAACGAGCGCTCAAGCTTGTTTGCGTGCATGCGGTCCTGTCAGTAGCATTCATGTTGTCAAGCGCCAGCTGTTTTGACACCTAGATACCATTGTCTGGGTTCTGTGCTGTCAGCTTTCTTTCGCAGGGTAAGGTTGATGACAGAGTGTCCGGGGCCTCAGCGAGCCCTGGGCTGTTTGGGCTCACCGTCAAAGTCTCTTTTCAGATTGGGCAGCTACTGGAGGTTTGGACATGCAGATCACCAGCTTGCGGGCCAAACATGCCCATGTCATTATACTTCAGGAGAAGCCATTTATCATTCTCTATTTGACATTTTGCTGTGGCTGCACACATCGTTGGAATCTTTCCGAAATAATTTTCCCGGAGTTCAAGGGCTGCACGAGCACGGGACGCGTGAACTGACATCCCCCACCATGCTGGAGATGACACACGCCCGGGGAGGTCACGGTTTTGCACATCCTGGTAAATCGTGTGCCTTCATTGACCTTTCTAGCAAGTCTGCCTGCAAGTGGCCGTAGATTTCTGAAGGTGTTCTTGGGGGTTTGCTTTCGATTTGCCGCTGAAAGTGCGGGCAGTACAGGAAGAAGAAGGAGTCCCAGCCGGGCGAGGACGGGCCACGCAGGGGCCGCATAGCGGGGGATGGGGAGACCTGAGCTGCCTGATGTAGGTTTAGTGGACAGATAATGACATTACAGCCTTTGTCCAAGTTTGGGATCATTTGGCTTGCTTGGGGCCTGCCGCCTTGCGAGGACGAACGCCTTGACATGGAGTTCGCCAACGAAAGGGAGCGCCTGAAGAAGGAGGCATTGGTTGAGAAACACGAGCCGCAGGGAGTTGGTCTTGACCAAACGAGGGACCTTTTTCAGAGCTTCAAAGGCAACATGGGCGAGCGCTGGGCCCGAATGGGCCCCGAAGTGCAGGTGTCTGACAAGGTCGCCGAGCGGGATGCCCGCATGCCCAAGGGCCGATCACAGCTGGCGCCGACCTTTGCACGCCGGCCTGTTTTTGGACGCTACTAGTAGCCAATATTCAACATGCGGCACGCCTGATAGGGACACTTCTGATCAAGCGTTGCAGTTTCACAGCGTCGAACCCAAATTTCCCAGTGGAACGGCTCAGGTTCGGATCCGGCGCCGGGACAGCCATTGAACGGAGTCTCACCCTTGCTGACCGAATCACGTGCGAGGAAGGAGTTGAGCCTGCCGCATGGTTTCGCTGTAAACGACTTCGATGGTTTTGGGAAGCAAAACGAGACCAGGGCTGGCCACTTGGAGGAGCTTTAGTTTGCGGGACAGCAGTTTCGACTGAACGACAAATTTGATCCATCAGCCATCTGAAGCTTAACGTGAAGATTTAGGGATTGGGGTTGCAAGGTTTACACGCGATTTAAGAGTCGGCCTGCACCTGAGCTCCCTCAAGCGGCAGCAGCATCCTTTGTGTTTCCAGCTTCCTTGTAGTGTGCCCTGTGGGCAAACATTCAGGGTACAGTTTGGTTAGTTACACAAACCGTGCGGGCACTGCGTTCCAGAAGCCGATCTTTTTGAGGTCTTTTTCTTGGCGACTCGGTGTGTTCACGATCCATGTCCTGGCAATGGCCTTTGCCCTTTTGCAGAGCTAGAATATCATAGATAACTTTTTTAGACAGCGCAGTCACGGGCCTCATATGCTTAGAGGCCTGAACGGCCTTGGAGCCTTTTGACACTACGCAATTTGGTCCATCCCTTCTTGTATGGAGAGATCGAACGAGAGAGAGAGAGAGAGCGAGAGAGCGAGATAAAGAGAGTGAGAGCAGCAGAAAATGAGGCAGCGCACTCCGTGCTTGGTTGGGCCTTCGGGCTGACAAGATTCTTGCCAGTCGCCGCTCATTCAGTCTTGCAACGACTGGCAATCCTGTCTTAGGCAAGAGCGGGTTCCCAAGGCAAGAAAGAGCCGCCAAAAAGGGTCTTCACATGACATCTCGCTGGTGTCCACCATACTCCGCTACTAGTGACCCCCAGATGGGATATTTTTTGCAGTGGTGGTTGTTCCACAAAGAACCATCCCTATTTTCAGTTGTTTGTCATCCGATCGCTGGTTGCTTCTGACTTCTGCCTGGTTATAGTTTTGCTTTGACAAGGCGCTGATTTCATTGATTTTTCCTGAGCGTGCATTTTCTTGCTTGTTGCAACAAGATCTTTGAAGTCTGAAGTATCTCAGATGACGCCATGTGCAGACAAGGTGAAGGTGAATAGCATCAATTGCCGACAGGTTGGGGTAGCGCCATGCTCAGCATGGGTCGCCTGAATCGTTTAGAGCTGTGACCAAGGCGGGGGCTCCTGGGCATTGCAAAGGTCCTAGCCAGTGGCAATGTGTCCAATTGGGGCAGCTCTTCGAAGGGTTGGTTTCCTACCGATTGCCAGTGTAAAGCCCTGACTTTGACACATGCTGCACTTGATTTTGGTTTAGTGGTTGGCCTTTGCTTGGTTTCAGAGACGAGTTGGCATCTCATTTTTTCGGATTTGGTGCGCACAGAAGGGACTCGGAGATTCAAGACATCGCCAGGACAGATGCCCCTGGCTCAAAAGTTGGGACCTCAAGGTGCCGCCAATTGAAGCGTTGCAAAGGGCGGTTGAGCTGGAAGTCTTGTCGCCGACCAGCACACTTGCATGCCCCGCATTTCTCCCGGTTCTCGTAAAACAGGGATCCCCATTCCTGTTTTGATCTCAGCCGGCATTTTGTGGGCAAGGCTGGAACGAGCTCCCTGTCAAGCCACGCATTCAGCGATCTGAGGCCGTTCAAGCCAAACCCAGAAGTGGAGCTGCTGCGAACGGAGCCTCAGAATCGGAACGACAAACACTTGTTATAGTTTGGATTGGGTGTTTCTGAAAATGGGTATGTCCTGTTTTATGAGACCCCCCTCCAGCAAAAATGGAGGTTTTCATGTTGGCTTCCTTTAAAACACGCAACACAATGGGTACCCTCAAAAAAGACACAAATAGGGTCCCTGGCCTGCCTCCTCCTCGTTCTTGCCAATCTTTGCTTCCCACGGCTGCGAGGCAAAGAGTGCATCTCCTTCGAGGATCGCGGCTCAGCACACGCCGAGAAAGCAAGTGAGGAATTGGCACTCAGCCTCAGACCCCCCGCTTTTTTTTCTTTTTCTGCAGAGATCTGTAAGAAGTCAAGCATGTGCTACATTGACACTGAAAGGGGAAAGCCAAAGTTGAGATCAAGCGCTTTTTGGGAGCTATGGCCATGAGTTTGACTCGTCGAGCTACGCAGGATGCTGCCCACATGCTGGAGAATGCTGTTGGGTCAGGGCCTCTGGAAATCCCAAAGGAGAGCCGCTGTTACGGGTCTGCGCACCCCGTTGGCCCACCCCAGTTTGCGCCTTTGCACTTGTCCTCTTGTCCTCCCTCTTGCTGGATGAGGTGCCGCAAGATTCTCAATGACTCTGCCTACGAGATCCTAAGAGCAGACGGCTTATTTTCTGGGGCCATCGCAGTGAGCCACCTTGGTGCTCCATACCTGATCGACATGACTTTGAGGACGAAAGATTGGGATTATTCATGCGCCTGTGAGTTGGGGCTGAAGATAGCAACGTCTCACCCGGTGAAGCGGCCTGCTCCAACCGTTCGATTCGTTGCCCTTCACTACCTCAGCGCAAGCTTTTCCTAATGCGTGTCAAGAAAGAGCCCCTTGCACCCTATCCGTAGCAAACGCTGAATTTCTTTTTGTGCTTCTCATAGGGATTGTTAATTCCAACTCACAGCAGTTCCCACCGGTTCCGACCTGTTCTTGGCACTCTGTCCAGGCGCGGGAGTCCTTGGACGTGCCTGGAGTTGCACCTGCCTCAGATGGGACGTGGTTCCGCATCCAAGTCGACGCACACAGAAAAAAACAAAAAACAACAACGGCATGGATCTTTTTGTCGCTTGGTCCTGAGTCAGATCTCGCCTTTGTCAGTGACATGCACCCGTCATGAGTCTTTGAGTGCTTGTGATAGGCAAAACTCTACAGCACAGAGCCAGCTGCGAGATCCGAGACGTGCTGAGTCTTTGGTCTCCTTCCGAAGCATCGAGATGGCTGCCAAGAGCCTTCGGGAAGATTGGGCGCTTTCCTCACACATTCGATGATATGTGCGTTTGTCTCAGAGTTTGGGCACCCTCCAAATGGTAGGTTTCTACTTGGCCTCCCAAGAAAAAGCAACCAAAAGGGCTCTCTCAAGAAAAGACACCCTTGTGCAGGAACCTGGTCTTTTGGGGGTTTTCTGTCAGGAGTCACGTCAAACGTGCGGCATTTCGAATGCCTGTGATCTCACTAAGCCTCAGCCCTGCCTCATTTCGCGTGCAGACAAAGTGGCCGAAGAAGCTGCGACTGAAACGCAGCCCTTTCCTGTTGGTGCGCCAAGCCTGTTTATGTGCCGTTTTTGCCGAAAGCTGGATGTTGCTTTCTCCTCTTCAATTGGACTTGCATATTTGCATTTAGGGCCCACATGGCCCACTACCTTCGACAAAGGGGAGGCTCAAGGGATCAAAACTGTTTGTGAGGTGCACGGGAGAGCGCGCGCACTCGGTTGGCCTGGGAGAGTGTGCGAGAGTGCGGCCCCTTTCCGACTCGGGCATTTGATTTTCGTCGGACGTATGTTGGGAGTCTGCAAACGAAACAGGCAAAGGCAAAAGAAAAAGGCCCAGCTTGAACGATGGCAGGTGACCGGCCGCCCCGAGCTCAGATTCAACTGGGCAAGGATGCCATGGGGCTCATGTGGTGCCCAAACACAAACTCTTGCTTTTGTTTCTTTCTTGGGGCTTTATGTTGTTTTTTCTTAGAGCCTTTCGGTCGGGCCATAGGCCTGGAGATCAACTTGCACCCCTTCTACCTGGGGAATCTGGGCTGCTGCCCCAGAGCTCTTTTGGGAGACGCGTTTACGAGACCCCTCGACGTCGCGGAGCATGCAAGGTGCTTCTTTAACGCTTTGGCCAGTCTGATCCGACGCTTGACAGATAATAACTTGTTGGTCAGAAGGGATAATGAAGTAATGAAGGAGACGCAAAGGGCACAAGGGCTCAAGTCTGGCAAGGACTAATGTCAGGAGACGATTAGTAATATTAAAGTAAAGGGCCAACAAGGTTTCCCCCCAAAAAACCTACCCAATTACTTTTGGGCTGTCCCCAAAACCCTCCGATTAAAGGTATCCCACGATTTGGTGCCATGTTAGGTGGAAGGGTTCCTCAATTTTTGGACCAACGCGAAGTTGCCAACAGATACGCCTAACAAAGGATTCCAGAGACAAGATAGGCATGGCATGTTGGGTCTGCTTCATATTCCTATGTCAATTCTCAGCTCTTGGGTGCTGTTAGGACATGAGATTGACAGCTGAACATGAGAAATATTTCATCGCCAACATAAAAGTACGGGTGCACGGCCACGCGTGTAAATAGCGGTAAAATGGTTTGTGGGGAGCAGCGGCGCTTGGAAAGCCACGAATCATGGTGCCGAAGAAGGTGCTGAAGCGAGAGGCAGGTGTCACAAAACGCCCCAAGCGACTGATGATGTCGCTGCTGCTGCCGCCCATGCCGGGGCGTCTTATAGGGTCCTGACAACACCCCACAACGGACAACCAGATACCGCTGGGAGGCAGCGCAGCTTCTTTTAGAGCGGCGCAAGCTTGTGTCTGGTGGTAAATCATTGCGGAGCACGCGACACAGCACGTCATGCTGCAATGCTCACACGCAGGGCCAAATGAGCAGCGCTGATCTTTATACAATCGAATTCTGAATTTGCCTCGGCGAAAGGGACACCCTGCATCGCGAAAGCGCGCGAAAGCGTTTTGCAAAGACTCGGTTGGCGAAAGCTCCTTGAGGCTTCTTCAGTGTTCAGATGGCGTTTGGGCTTGGGGCAGCGTGCGCAAAGAGCAGGTGTTGACCGTGCGAGCGTATGTGCTTGGTCTCGTGTTATTAGTGTGCGCAGGCTGTTTGGCTGCGGGGGGGGGGGGGTGATTTTTTTTTTTTGCGAAATCTCCACGAAAGGCGTGAGTCCGGGGGTGGCCTCTTTTGCTGCCACGGTTGTGCCAATCTTACGTTGCGTTTTTGGGGCTCCAGGAACCTTGGAAATGCCGACACCACCGACTCCCCGCGACATTCACCAACTGCTGCCGGCGTTTGACTGTTTGACCGGAATCCCCGTGCGCGTTTGACTCGAATCCCCGTGCGCGTTCG